GGCATAAAGTCATTGTCATTCGCTGTGAATGTCAATCCTGTGAAAATGTATTAATCTTTTATAATGTATTTAGCCATCTATAGGCTATATCGCTAAGAAATACTCTCAGTAGAAATCCATCAGGATAACGTCAGATAGTCTTTATTTGCACTTTCATACTGGTCTTTTCCTACCATTCCTTGTCCTGGACTATACTCCTCTGTAGACATGGAAGCATTCTACTACCACTAAACTTAATTTGGCTCATTTAGACTTGGGTCAAACCAAGAAAGAATAGGCAAATAAGTGATGTAGCTAACAATTATGTTAATAATAAATAAGCATTTTTGGAGCAAGGCTTTTTCTTTTTCCAACAATTGTTCTGTGTGCAGATCACTTTAACACTGGATAATTTAATTATTGAATAGAAGTATAATGTATCTATTATAATATACAGTACCAGTCAAAAGTTCAGACACACCTACTCATTCAAGGGTTTTTCTTTATTTTTATTTTCTTTTACTATTTTCTACATTGTAGAATAATAGTGAAGAAATCAAAACTATGAAATAACAACTATGGATTCATGTATTAACCAAAAAAGTGTTAAACAAATCAAAATATATTGTATATTTGAGATTCTTCAAAGTAGCCACCCTTTGCCTTGATGACAGTTTTGCACACTCTTGGCATTCTCTCAACTAGCTTCACCTGGAATGCTTTTCCAACAGTCTTGAAGGAGTTCCTACATATGCTGCTTTTCCTTCACTCTGCGGTCCAACTCATCCCAAACAATCTCAATTGGGTTGAGGTCGGGTGATTGTGGAGGCCAGGTCATCTGATGCAGCACTCCATCACTCTCCTTCTTGGTCAAATAGCCATTACACAGCCTGGAGGTGTGTTGGGTCATTGTCCTGTTGAAAAACAAACGATAGTCCCACTAAGCGCAAACCAGATGGGATGGCGTATCGCTGCAGAATGCTGTGGTAGCCATGCTGGTTAAGTGTGCCTTTAATTCTAAATAAATCACAGACAGTGTCACCAGGAAAGCACCCCCACACCATCACACCTCCTCCTCCATGCTTCACGGTGGGAACCACACATTTGGAGATCATCCGTTCACCTACTCTGCGTCTCACAAAGACACGGTGGTTGAAACCAAAAATCGACCGGTCTAATGTCCATTGCTCGTGTTTCTTAGCCCAAGCAAGTTTTTTTGTTATTGGTGTCCTTTAGTAGTGATTTCTTTGCAGCAATTCGACCATGAAGGCCTGATTCACGCAGTCTCCTCTGAACAGTTGATGTTGAGATGAGTCTGTTACTTGAACTCTGTGAAGCATTTATTTGGGCTGCAATTTCTGAGGCTGGTAACTTTAACTTATCGTCTGCAGCAGAGGTAACTCTGGGTCTTCCTTTCCTGTGGTGGTCCTCATGAGAGACAGTTTCATTATAGCACTTGATGGTTTTTGCGAATGCACTTGAAGAAACTTTCAAAGTTCTTGAAATATTCCGTATTGACTGACATTCATGTCTTAAAGTAATGATGGACTGTCGTTTCTCTTTGCTTATTTGAGCTGTTCTTGCCATAATATGGACTTGGTATTTTATCAAATAGGGCTATCTTCTGTATACCACCCCTACCTTGTCACAACACAACTGATTGGCTCAAACACATTAAAAAGGAAAGAAATTCCACAAATTAACTTTTAAGAAGGCACACCTGTTAATTGAAATGCATTCCAGGTGACTACCTCATGAAGCTGGTTGAGAGAATGCAAAGAGTGTGCAAAGCTGTCATCAAGGCAAAGGGTGGCTACTTTGAAGAATCTCTAATATAAAATATATTTTGATTTCTTTTACACTTTTTTGGTTACTACATGATTCTATGTGTGTTATTTCATAGTTTTGATGTCTTCACTATTATTCTACAACGTAGAAAATAGTAAAAAAGAAAGAAAACCCCTTGAATGAGTAGGTGTGTCCAAACGTTTGACTGGTACTTTGGGGCGGCAGAGAGCTTACTGGTTAAGAGCGTTGTGCCAGTAACCGAAAGGTCGCTGGTTCTAATCCCCGAGCCGACTAGGTGAAAAATCTGTCGATGTGCCCTTGATCAATTGCTCCTGTAAGTCGCTCTGGATAAGAGCGTCTAATAAATGACCAATTTATTTTTATTTATTTATTTTACTTTAATTATTTGCACAATGTTAGCCCATTCTCAAAACAAAGGACACTGTCCCACATTTTCTCTCAGGGCCATATAATCTTCCTCATACCTCATACATGTACTGTAGCTTCATGCTCAAACAGCAAACCATAATACTGACCAGAGTAAAAAATATACTATATTTATTTTGACCCTTCAAACAAGACAAAACTGCATTGTTTTGTTTCTTGAAGATGAAAATCGACATAAAAGCACATATAGGTAGGATTAGTAAAAGTCGTGAAAAAGCAGAGCACCATAATAACTCTGTGGAGCATGAGAAATAATGAATGTCTAACAGCGTCCATGTCCCTCCATTGTTGTCATTGGCACTAACACCTGTTTTCATTTATTGATTGACCATCTGTCTGAGTGTATTGTCATGTCACCAGGTTACATGACTTGAGCTTTAGTGTCCGCATTCCATTCACTGTGATGCTGTTTTCCTCCTGTCCACAAGGTGGCTCTAGTAAGATACAGGGAAATCTAGTTCCAGTTTCTCCAGCCTCCTTCAAGAAACCAGCAGATGCCACATCATGATTCTCAAAACCAGCTGTCAGTCAGTCAACATGAGGCACATGATTCTAGACCAAAACACAGAGGAGCAGTCAAAACAAGTCTTTCTGCTGACCCTTTTACCTGTCATTGTTGTCTTCACAGTGCTTGCACTTCTTCCAAGTAACGGCAGGTGTCTTAGGTGTATTTTTTATGCCCTTTTTGGCATGGCAGAGGATATATTGGAGTGTTTTTCCTCTATAGTGAGTCAGTACTGTTATGTCATCACTGTTCATAACAGTAGATCTCTGTTCTGTTGTTGCTTCCCCCTCACTGTCTCTGACTGTCATACTGTCATGCCCTCCTCCTGTAGTCTAGATTATTTTGTGATTCCCTCATGTCTTCTTGGCAACGGGCCGCTGGGGTTTCTGCTTGCGCAGGTGTGCCTCGATCTCGTGTCGGAAGAAGAGCATGCCCAGCTGGCCGTGTGAGGCTTCGTTCATGGCCTTGGACTGCATGCACATCCTGTACTGCTCCGGGGGCAGCTCATCAGCACAGCGCTTCTCGTGCCACAGGTGGAAGAGGCCCCGCGATGGGGACCGCACCACCAGCAGGTTGCTGTGCAGGTACTTCCTGTAAAGGTGAACGTCCTCACCACCCCAACCTTTGATGTCCACGTCGAAACCACCTGTAGGAGGGACAACATGAACTCATAAACTCACTATATCAGGCTGCTGAATAGCCACCACTAGTCAGCTACCTGCTCCCCCCTCCCACTCCCCCCCATGGAAATCCCCCCCACAGACTTTGCCCCCACCCCAACGACATTCATCACTGTTGCAGTTGTAAATATGTACATTATTACTTTTTTGTTTTAATTTCACTCAATGGTCATGCTGCTCCCCCTATGGCCACTCCCCCCCACCCCCTCAACAGTCTTTACTCTGCCTCCACCCCAATGGACATTTATTTATTCATCACTGCTACAGTTGTTATGATACATATAGTGCTATTTCTATATCTATTATTGTTTTTATGACCATTTTCATTGTTTTATTTCACTTAGTTCTGCATGTTGGAGCTCAGAGTCTAAGATGTTCATTGTACCCTGCAATCACACCTACAACCCTGTACATGTGACTATTAAACAATCTGAATCTATATACACTGAGTCTACAAAACATTAAGGACACCTTCCTAATATTGAGTTGCCGCGCCCCCGTTTGCCCTCAGAGCAGCCTCAATTCGTCGGGGCATGGACTCTACAAGGTGTCGAAAGTGTTCCACAGGGATGCTAGCCCATGTTGACTCCAACAGTTGTGTCAAGTTGGCTGGATGTCCTTTGGGTGGTGAGCCATTCTTGATACACACAGTAAACGGTTGAGCATGAAAAACCCAGCAGCATTGCAGTTCTTAACAAACCATTGCACCTGGCACCTACTACCATACCTCATTCAAAGGCACTTAAATATTTTGTCTTGCCCATTCATCCTCTGAATGGCACACATACACAATCCATGTCCCAAGGCTTAAAAATCATTCTTTACCCTGTCTTGTCACCTTAATCTACACTCATTGAAGTTAATTTAACAAGTGACATCCATAAGGGATTATAGCTTTCACCTGGATTCACCTTGTCAGTCTGTCATGGAAAGAGCAGGTGTCCTTAATGTTTTGTACACTCACTATATAATATATAAATATTAATATAATATACAGGTATGTTATATATATATATATATATATATATAACAGAGGAGGGATGAAGGGCGATCATGGGTGCGTTCAGTAGGGCACAACATTGTGGAAATATGGCAACGGGTGGCTATTTGAAGAATCTCAAATTTAACATATTTTGATTTGTTTAACACTTTTTTGATTAATACATGATTCCATATGTGTTATTTAATAGTTTTGATGTCTTCACTATTATTCTACAATGTAGAAAATAGTAAAAATAAAGAAAAACCCTTGAATGAGTAGGTTCTAAAACTTTTGACCGGTAGTGTATATCTGCAACATTCCACAATGTTTGCCTACTGAACTATGGCCAGGGATCAGAGGTCAAACCCTGATGGTAGAGTTCTGTTTTTGTGATAATGACAGCTTGTTAATTCATCACCATCCTGTTTGTTGGGTTATGTTCTACCAGTTTTCTCTACATGCATAATATAATGCGTGGAATGATGAGATATTGCGACAGAACCTCAGAACATGCCCTAACTTGACTTTCAGAGGAAGTAAGATGCTGACGTCAGTTCTTTCCAACTAACTGGACTGCATCCTCTTCATGCCATAGGTGACACGGGTAATCATGTTTTGTTTACTTTTGCGTGCGTTTTTTCTCCCCCTCTCTATTTTTCTCTCTTTTTAAGATGACTGCAGACTGCTCAGTGCTGAAGGGCTAAACAATGAACCCAACCAGGAAGTTGGAGATTGTTTATTTGTTTGTGCACCGGGGCCTAAAAATATTCCCTCTGTTTGGAAAATAACCGGGCTCTCCTTCTTCAGAGGCTGGCGCCCCCCGACGGGAGCGGGCGGATAGGGCGAGAGAGGAGACGCACTAGTGCAGAGCTGCGAAAGCGACCCCGCGAGGCTCGTGGCTCGCCTCTCTCTCTCTCTCTCTCTCTCTCTCTCTCTCTCTCTCTCTCTCTCTCTCTCTCTCTCTCTCTCTCTCTCTCAACACAGATAAATTAATAATTCATTACTATCCGCATCACATCTAAATCTCAAATCACTCACCCTAGAGTTGGAAGGAGTATTTTGTGTATTATAGGTCTTACTGTAGTACGAATTATCTCTCTCCTGAGAGTCTAAGGTCAGACAGATGCTGTACCTCTGATATTACTATGGTGGGAGACAGTGTTCTGCCAGTGGCAAATTAAATTACAATGACAAACAGTAAAATCTCTGTGTGTGTGTATTTCTGGCCTAGACACGTGTGCCCTATGAGCCCTGGTCAAAAGTAGTGCACTATATACGGAACAGGGTGCCATTTGGGACGCAGACACTGTCCAGAAACTGCCCTTATTTCCAGCATAGTTTATAGCCTGTGATTTCATCTAATGGCCTCGACTGAGGTGGAAAAATGTATTGAGGCAAATCCTGTGCTGAGAGCCAATACGCCTGAGTCCATAATAATATTGCAGATGGTTTGGATATGACAATTTACCATCGATGAGCACGGTAACATGATATTTACCTATGTTGATGAAATCTGATCTGTACTGGCACGTCATTCCGAAGCCAAAGTCTCTCCAGAATCCTGTGTCTTTTTTGATCGCCTATTAAAAATAGCAAAAAATAACAGGCAAATCTTTAACGTAAGAAAATTTGTTTTTGTACCATGTGTGTGGTATCTCTTAATATTTCTGAGGACATCTGTGAAAGCAGCTTTCTTACCAGCTGCTGTTCGACTGGCGGGATGTGGTCGTGATTGCCGTAGATCAGGGTTGGGTTATACTGGCTGAACAGAACGGGATAGAAGACCTTCTTACCTGAAGAAGAAAGAAATATATGAAAATGTAATCAAACAAATCTAAGATTTCCAATGTATTAATTACCAATGGTTAATACACTTGAACTTGAACATGGACTAAACAACATCTCAATAACAGTTACTTAATTCAAATCTCAGTTTTGTTAGAAAATCAAAAGATACAGCGACCCACACTGAACATAGCACTGACGTGGGTTTGTTCAGTGTATTGTAGTACCAGGTTGAGTGTTGAGACGGCAGGTGTTCAGGAAGTCGGCGGTAAAGTAGATGTCGACGTCACAGAAGAAGAGGAGGACGTTTCCTCCCTTCCACGCCCTGGCGCCCACATCCAGGCCACGCCCCCTGGAGAACTCCTCATTCAGCTGGAGCAGGGAGAAGTTCTTAAAGTTGATCTCCCTGCAGAGAGAGAAGAATAATACTTTATTGTCCTTTGTACACAAATGTATCTTCTGCTTTAACCCAACCCCTCCGAAAGAAACTCATATGCAAACAGGTTGGAGAGGTTGGAGGAGGAGAGAGGGGAGAGGAGAATTTGACAGAATAGGAGATGAAATAGGAGGAGTTGATTCAGAGACAAAACCCAACGGATACTAGAAAGAGGGAGACAGTGTGGCTAAAAAAATTGACCAAAAATGAATTAGCGTCACTGGTTCAAAGTTAATTTAGTAGAGGGAGTGGGACAGGCTTAATTCATCAGTGTCTAATGGCTCTTATGAGAGTAGAGGGCCCAGCTGAGTCCAAATACAGTCACTGCATACAATACACAAAGCTCTGTCTTTGTACTGTACCATTAACTACAACACACACACACACACACACTACCCCCGCATACTGTAGCAAACCTAATTTCCCCTTTGACAACAGCAGAACTAATAAGATCAGGTTTGTAAAGTGGCTACATGATGGCTGTGACCCAAATGGCAACTACAGTATGCCCGACATACTGTAGGGCACGGTTTTTGACCAGAGCCCCATAGGTTTCTGTGATGAGAGGCTAATTAATGCTAGTTAATATGCTACTCACTCCGTCAATGTGACAAATGTATTTTTTGACATCTCAGCCTCCTTTAGGCATTATTATCCTCCACCCACGGTAAACAACCACTGACTGATGTTCCTTTATTAGTGTGGGATTATGCCCTTGTGGATAGTGTGGATAGAGAGTGGCACTTTGTGGGCTCAACTCAAATACAAGCCTGCCACTGTACACAGACAGAGACAGAGACCGAGAGAGAGACCGAGAGAGACCGAGAGAGAGAGAGAGAGAGAGAGAGAGAGACTGCAGACTAAGGTCTGCTATGGGAGTTCAAAGACACACACACACACACACACACACTGCAGGATCCATCAGGATAAATTATGCATCAATTCCTAACCTTGGGCCTTGCACTAGGGGGAAATAGTGAGAATCTCCAGAAAACATTGCAATTAATTGTTTGAGATGTGAACACTATAAAATTGCTAATGCATTATTAAATGAACGCTCTCACATGATCACATATTTATGCCCAAAATGGATCATACATTAAACTTTCCAGTTAAAAAGAGAACATAATCACTCATCTGTGACATAAATGATGATGGACTGTGATGTATTTTATTTACAGGTCTGATAGTGGAAGATAAACAGATAATATTTCCAGAGACAACCCATAGATTCAGCCCCTCAATATGACCAGCTAGCAGGACTGTTTCCGACCAGCAGTTCAAAGAACATAAGGAACGTAATCCTGATGATTTTATTATCGAGTTATTATGAACATATAATATCGAAACTTGATTCATGTGCCTTTTATTATGGGATTCATAGTCTGCTATAGCATTGTGTGATATTTCAGAATGGTGACTATAGGACGACGTTGGTTGCAGCCTGATCTCTAGCTTTACACTGCAGGCTTAGACGTTCCTCCAAGCTAGTTATACGGCGGGAGGCGACGTGACAGTTTGAGTACAGATGCCGTATCTTAATTTGATCGTCCTGGAAATGGAAATGCAAACTTGTAGTGTATTCAAGGTTTAAAAAGGCTTCTAAAGTTTCTAATTTCCACTTTAGAATTTGAGACTGGATTTGATTTGATTTATTGGGATCCCCATTAGCCGACGCCAATGGCGACAGCTAGTCTTACTTGGGTCCGACAATTTGCCATAACGATTTGCCCTAATGAAAAATTTATGAACACCTACAAAAAATGTCCATTCATTATAATACACATAATAATTCACATTTCCTGTTGCTGCTGGATTATTTTCCTGCTGTGAGAAACTGGGTCAAATTAAGATATGGCATCTGTAGTTCAGCCTGACACTATAGCCTGTAGGCTATTCCCAGTACGGAGTCCTTCTCCCATCATCTCTCTATCCGCTCAGTGTTTGAGATCAATTGACACCCTTTACCATGGAGCATTGAGATTTATTTTAAATTGCAAACCCCTTGCACCATTGCACTTTATATACCAGGTTTGGCTGGCCTTCTCTAGTCACTCGTAGGCTCAGTCACTTGTATACTTTTATTTACAAAGCCATTTTGGGTTTACTACCATCTTATCTGGGCATTTTTATTCTTCAGAAATGTGGTGGGTATTCTCTTCGTTCGCAGGACTTTCTCCTGCTAACTGTTCAAAATGTCCGAACTGAATTTGGTAAAAGGGCTTTTATGTACTCTGCACCATCGGCTTGGAACGCCTTACAAAATAGTTTTAATATGGAAGAACTTGTCCTGATTGGTGTTTTTAAATCATTGATGAAGGATTTTGAGGCTGATTCCTTGACCTGTCAATGTTTTTAATTTGCTGTTTTATGATTTCGTTATACTCCTGTGATTTCTATGGTTTTTAATAGATTATTTGTAGTTTTTCATGATGTCTGTCTGTAATTGTGTAATGACTTGATGCTGCCTATCTTGGCCAGGACGCTCTTGAAAAAGAGATTTAAAATCTCTACGAGCCCTTCCTGGTTAAATAAAGGTTAAATAAAAAATTAAAAAAATATCAGCATCTAGCCTAACCGAACCAGAGGGAAGGGCTCCCTCTCTCCTCCCTGGGGACTCTGGCTCTGGAATAGATGAACTGTATATTTGATTTCAGATTAATCTGTATGGAGACTGACATATCTGCTGTCAGAAAGAAAACATAGATTTAGGACCAGTGTACATGTACTTAATCCTGCTTAGACACACACAGATACAACCACGTATTGGCTGGTGTGGCCAAAACAGATACACCCAAGTACTGGCTGGTGTGGCCAGAACAGATACATCCATGTAGTGGCTGGTGTGGCCAGAACAGAAACACCTACACTACCAGTCAAAAGTTTGGACACACCTACTCATTTAAGGGTTTTTCTTAATTTTTTACAATGTTTTACATTGTAGAATAATAGTGAAGACATCAAAACTATGAAATAACACATATGGAATCATGTAGTAACCCAGAAAGTGTTAAACAAATCAAAATATATTTTATATTTGAGATTCTTCAAATAGCCACTCTTTGCCTTGATGACAGCTTTGCATGATGAAATGATGAAACTGTCTCTCATGGGACCGCCACAGGAATGGAAGACCCAGAGTTACCTCTGCTGCAGAGGATAAGTTCATTAGAGTTACCAGCCTCAGAAATTGCAGCCCAAATAAATGCTTCACAGAGTTAAAGTAACAGACACATCTCAACATCAACTGTTCAGAGGGGACTGTGGGAATCAGGCCTTCATGGTCGAATTGCTGCAAATAAACCACTACTAAAGGACACCAATAAGAAGAGACCTGCTTGGGCCAAGAAACACCGGTGGAAATGTGTCCATTGGTCTGGAGTCCAAATTGGAGATTTTTGGTTCAAACCGCCGTGTCTTTGTGAGACGCGGTGTGGGTGAACGGATGATCTCCACATGTGTAGTTCCCACCGTAAAGCATGGAGGAGGAGGTATTATGGTGTGGGGGTGCTTTGCTGGTGACACTGTCTGTGATTTATTTAGAATTCAAGGCACACTTAACCAGCCTGGCTACCACAGCATTTTGCAGCGATACGCCATCCCATCTGGTTTGGGCTTTGTGGGACAATCATTTATTTTTCAACAGAACAATGACCCAACACACCTCCAGGCTGTGTAAGGGCTATTTAACCAAGAAGGAGAGTGATGGAGTGCTGCATCGATTGACCTGGCCTCCACAATCCCCTGACCTCAACTCAATTGAGATGGTTTGGGATGAGTCGGACGGCACAGTGAAGGAAAAGCAGCCAACAAGTGCTCAGCATATGTGGGAACTCCTTCAATACTTTTGGAAAAGCATTCCAGGTGAAGCTGGTTGAGAGAATGCCAAGAATGTGCAAAGCTGTCATCAAGGCAAAGAGTGGCTATTTGAAGAATCTCAAATATAAAATATATTTTGATTTGTTTAACACTTTTTTGGTTACTACATGATTCCATGTGTGTTATTTCATAGTTTTGATGTCTACACTATTATTCTACAATGTAAAAAATTGTAAAAATTGAGAAAAACCCTTGAATGAGTAGGTGTGTCCAAACTTATGACTGGTACTGTACGTATTGGCTGGTGTGGCCAGAACAGATACACCCACGTATTGGCTGGTGTGGCCAGAACAGAAACACCCACGTATTGGCTGGTGTGGCCAGAACAGAAAAACCCACGTGTTGGTTGGTTGGTTGGTGTGCCCAGACATATGGACAGACAGACTGGCAGACAAATACAGACAGATAGACAGACAGAAACACAGAACCCACAGATACACCCATAAAAGCAAAAATGCACACATGCATGTCTACCATATACACGTTCTAAAACTCGTAATAGAGCAGAATGTATGCTTGTAAATGTAGCCACTAGAATTCCCAGCCAGCTGTTGTTTATTCAAGGTGCACAAAATCTTTTAAGTCCCCAGAAAAACTTAGGACATTAAAACATTGTTTGCAAAGTCCCGTGGGAGTTTGTTCCCACATCGGATAAATACCTTTTAAACCACAAATTATCAAAAACATAAGCATTAAATATGTATATGGGCCAGCAATCCTTTAGAGTAGTTAAAAGCTAACCTGTGCCCTCGCACATTGACTCGGTACCGGTACCCCCTGAATATAGCCTTATTTTTACTGCTGCTCTTTAATTATTTGTTACTTTTATTTCATATTATTTTATATAGTATTTTTTTGTGATTTTTTTTGGGTATTCTTTCTTAAAACTGCATTGTTGGTTAAGGGCTTGTAAGTGAGCATTTCACTGTAAGCTTTACACCTGTTGTATTTGGCGCATATGACAAATAACATTTGATTTTATTTAAATCATATTAGTAGTGGGTAGGAGTGGGATTAGTTTAGGATTCAGGCTGCTGGTTCGAGTGTTTTCACTGTGATTCAAGCAGCCGCAAGCCTCAGGCCAAAACATACTCTGGATATTTCCTTTTGTGATCCTGGTTTGGCATGTCCGTCTGGTGCTGGTCTGGGACAGCCCCCCACCCCGCTCTCTCTCTCTCTTTCGCTCTCTCTATATCCTTCTATCTACTTCAGTCAAGGCTTTTCCAGCCATCCTCAGTACTGCCATGTCAAACCAGCACAGGAAGGAGCTACTGTCTGTCTGCTGCCTCCAGGGAGGGGAAATCTTCAACTAGGAATTCAAGACCCCTCTCTGTCTACTGTTAATACCCTGAGGAGTCTCACTTTCTTAGTGAGTGTGTGTGTGAGAGTGTGTGTGTATGTATGTTTATATACCCTGAGGAGTATATCTGTCTGAGTGAGAGCACTCACTGCCCATTTGTCTGAGAGCTGGTGCCTCTAGTGTTTTGGAGGACCCTGGAGAGTTAGGATTCAGTAAATGTTTTGAAGAAACATCATCAGTACTGGTCATTAAAAATGTAGACGTGTGTGGACGCAAGCCTCAGGCAAGGCCCCATTAAGCAGGGCTGGAGTAGTTTTCAAGTGTGTGTGTGTGTGTGTTTGTGTGTATGAAAGATACAGCATAATGAGAGATATATTTAATTTACTTTAAGTGGATAAACATAAACATTGGATGGAAACACTGAAAACACTGAAAGTACACATTCCGGCTTCCAGTTTCCTGAAAAGCCACAATATTGTGTCATCCATATGAAATCCTACACTACTCTGTGATTAAGGTTTTTTGACAGGATGCAGTGCTTTGTCTGTCTCCCTGAGGAGCTGATCCCTCTGTGGAGATGTAGGAATGGTGCATTAGCATTCACTGTGCGCTGGGAGCTGGTGGGCTTGTGTTTATGTTCTGAGGGCATCTGTGGTTCACAAGCGTTCAGCTCTCACCCTGGGCTCAAAACTGTCTCTCCTCTTCCACTCTCTTCTCTTCTCTGCTGTATCTCTTCTTTGATGCATCTCTTCTCCTCTCCTCTCCTCTCTCCCTTATGGACATTCATTTATTCATGTCTATCGATTTCCCAACTCTGCAAACAGCTCGGTGTGTCTCTGTCCATCTCAAACTGGAGTGATGGACAGTTACTGGTTGAAGCGTGTTTGACATGATAAGCATGTCTCGTTGTCTGGTACAGCTCACTAACATACAGCATAAGGAGTTTAACTTTATTTCAACCTGCTCTGTCTCTCTACTTTGCTGATGTGATTTAACTGATTTGGATACAGTGCTTGCCCCTATGATTATGAACACATACAGTACAAAAGGGGTAAATAGTATTTGGATAGGGAAGGAAGACTTTGATTTAGTCAGGGCAGAAGCAGCAGCAGTAGCAGCAAATGATCCATGCGGTGCCTGCTGTTGGAAACAGATATATTGACATCGGCAAAGCTAAAATAAGGGCAGGCAGGATTCAGATCATCGCCCAAGGCTAAATTCTACCGTCACATAAATCGATAACCATTCAGACCAATTCAACAGAAAAAGGAATAGGGAAAGGGAGAGATTGGAGTTTGGATGTTGTTCTCCTTCTCTCTAGGAGATCAGTGCTTGATTAAAGTGGCTGATCCAGAGTCAGATGAAGTGTTATGTAACCATGGCGATGGAATGCATTGACGACAGAGAGCTGTTTATAAGGTGACAAGAGGACAGACCATGATTGATACAGTAGATATGTTTGGTATCATGTGAGCTCCATCCTGAACTGTAGCAGACATGGTTTCAAATAGTGTTACTTTAAGTGTTTTATTGAGTCTGCCTGGAGTGCCAGGGCAAGCTCACAAACACAGCTAAATCATTTGAAAGTCAACAATTACTATTTGAATCCAGGTCTGATGTGAGCTCAATCGTGAGACTGTTTATGGCTGTTAAGATATTCGTTATCAGAGTAATTGTGGTACAAAAAAACTAGCAAGAACTAGGGACTCTTTGTAGCGCTCAGTTGTCTTTCAACTAGTTGAAGACTTGAGTGAGACTGTCTAGATAACAGATATCAACATATGTCTTGTTACACACATGCTGTGTCTATGGTATTTGTTGGGAACAAAGCAAACAAATTATCCAAGGACTAACACAACTCTTAACCTTGCACAGAGACAACTCATTAGCGGAGGTCACTGTCTCAGAGAGAATGTACAAGGACAACGTCTTGCCTTTCTCCGTTTAACTATTCACACCATCACAAACAAACCGCCTAGGCCATTCCCAGAGACAGGAGAGCTGTTGAGAATTAGATATCTTTGAGTGAAAGACCTTGGCTCTCATCAGATTTCTCTTTCTAGACAATACTGTCTGCCTCATTGTCATTGAGAGCGAGAAAGCGAGAGAGCGAGAGAGCGAGAGAGAGAAAAAGCTGTGGTGTGACATCTGAAACGAGCTCAAAGCCTAGCATGAGGTGTGCAACTCTTTCTCTCTCCTTCTCTCTTTCTCTCCTTCTTTCTCTTTCTACCCCTGCAAACCATCCGGCCAGGGGTGGGCACAGCGTCTCCATGGCAACCTACCAGATAATCAGCACAGTACCAGAGTACCATGTGAACTAATCTCCCCCACAAGACGATCTCAAATTGACCCTGGACCTGTAATTGTTTCTGCGGGCAAGACACTAATTTCACTGCGACCGCTGTCAGCCCTGATCCCAGACCTGTAATATCCGACACTGGCAGAGGTCACTGAGTGCCTCTGGGTGTTCACACTCCTACATTATTCATCAGACGGGGCTGAGGTTTCTGAGTTGCTATAAACAGAGACAGGGAGTGTGTGTTTGTGTGTGTGTATTCGTGAGTGTGTGGGTGTGTGTGTGTGTGTGAGAGTGTGTGTGGGTGTGTGTGTGTGTGTGAGAGTGTGTGTGGGTGTGTGTGTGTGTGTGTGAGAGTGTGTGTGGGTATGTGTGTGATCGTGTTTTTGTGCATGTGGGGGGGGGGGAATGTATGTACAGTGGGGTCCCTTGATAAAAATGAGCAAAAAAGACAGTATAAAATAAACAATACATATTGTATGCTCACATGTTTTTTAAGTATATTATTGTATACCAATACAATTGCTCAGAGAAAGAGATTTAGTTTAACAAGTAATACAAACATCTGAAAAAGGTAGGGGTCAAAATTATTGACACCCCTATTTTCAATACTCTAGCACTGTCCCCTTACCAAGAACCATTACATTTTAGACAAAAACCTGGTTGCCTTTGCCAGGAGGCTGGCACTTGGCCACAAGTGGATCTTCCAGCAAGACAATAACCCCAAGCACACATCAAAATCCTCAAATAAATGGTTAATTAACCACATAATCTACATTTTGCAATGGCCATCTCAGTCTCACACCATTGAAAACCTGTGGTTTGAATTGAAGAGAGCAGTCCATAAGCACAGACGAAGGATATTAAGGATCTGGAAAGATTCTGTATGGAGGAATGGTCTAAGATCCCTCCCAATGTGCTCTCCAATCTCATAAAACATTTGAGAAAAAGGCTCAGTTCAGTTATCCTCAAAAGGGGCAGGAGTATTGAAAACAGGGGTGTCAATAATTTTGACCCCTATCATCTTTAGATTATTAAAAAAATAACTTGTTAAACTAAATCACTTTCTGTCATTGTGTATGTGTGTATGTCTGTTTATGTGTCTGTGTGTGTGTGTGGATGTGTGTGTGTCCACCCACCTAGACATGTTCTCCAGAGTGCTCCTGACTTCATTCATCTGGTCCTTCCCAAAGTACACCACTGTGAGGTGAACTCGCCCATCCTGCCGCACACACACCTCTCTGCAACAACACACACAAACAAATGAAGAAATAATGAATCAAACAGAGCAGGGGACTTATTATACACAACCCAAGCACAGAGAGGGCCAAGGGGAAGGTAACCTAGGTTGAAATCATTTGTTTTCTTTCAGCAGACTTTAGATGCGTTTGAAGCTTGCCTGGCGCAATGGAACCGATGGAATAATCCCCAAGGTGCAAACCCTGCACATTTGCACTGAAGGTAGGCTGAGACAAAAAGTTCAAAGTATTTGAAAGAAAACATATACTGTAGCAATAACAGAGGTCAGTTCAAATGGGGTTACAGATCAGAGAGTCCCCTTAAGGGTAGGTGCATACTAGTGGAGGCTGGTGGGAGGAGCTATAGGAGGACGGGTTCATTGTAATGGCTGGAATGGAATAAATGGAACGGTATCAAACACATTGCACTTATGGAAACCACTTTTTATTTTTTATTTTTTATTTCCCTTTATTACTTTCCAACCCCACCACCCCTTCCCTAATTGGAGTAAACTAGTGAACAACAATGCTTAGGCCACTACTTCCAGCGTATACATACTACATACATTTTATGGACACAGTTAATTTTACAATAATTATATTTTGTTTGTTTTTACTCCTGAACTTCCTCTACCCTCAACCGCTCCGATCATTTTCATGATGTCCATCCGGTTTGCTTCTATATGCCATATGTTTCTAACTGTGCTCTTTCACAAAAGCTTTCAACCTATAACCTATATATTTATTATGGACACAGTATGCTTACATTATGGGCGGCAGGTAGCTTAGTGGTTAAGAGCGTTGTGCCAGTAACTGAACGGTCGCTGGTTCTAATCCCCAAGCCGACTAGGTGAAAAATCTGTCGATGTGCCCTGGATAAGAGCATCTGCTAAATTACTAAAATGTAAATGTAAATGTAATTATTAGTTATCTTGTTGTATTTAGTTGTTGTTAGTTGTTATTAGTCCCATCCTTCAACTCCATTCAACACCACCCATCTATCTCTTAACACCATCCATATTGGATTTCTATTTGCCATATATTTTTCAACTGTACTGTGATGTTTTACAAAAGTTCTGAACCTTTCTATTCTCATTGTTTCTACAGATTGTAAATTGAAAATAGACATTTTTATTATTATATTATTGATCGATTGACTATGACTTTTCAGATCACCCAGTAATGCTATCTGCAGGGTTAGCTCCAGGTAAATATTGCAATCCTTTAGCCATTCCTGGACCTGTGTCCAAAAACAAGCATCAAATGGACAGTACCAAAACAAATGATCTAATGATTCTGTCTCTTCGCAGCAAAATCTGCAGAGCTGGGAAGATTGTATCCCCCATATAAATAACATTCTATTGGTAGCAAGAATGTTATATAATAATTTAATTTGAAAAATTCTAAGTTTTGAATCCGGCGTCGTTTTGCGTATCAGTTCATAAACACTATGCCATGGAATTGTGCAATCTATATGGGACGGCTTTTATTTACAGTTTTCTTTAACCAGTTATGTTCTTTAATGCAAGGCCGACAGACAAGTTCCTAATTTTTTCCCCTTCCACTTTCCTCTTCCATTTTTGCGGTAATGCTGCAATTATTTGGTTGTAATTTTGGGTAGAGCAGACATTTCCATATGTTTTTGTTAGCTGCATGTGCGACATAACTCCACCAGTCCTACCGATGATATCATTTACAAAGATTATACCTTTTTTTATTTTTTTCTGTAAAAAACCCCCGGTATTTTATCAATTAGTATATTTGAGTTTAACCACAATGTTTGTGTGCATTATTTGTTCTGTCGTTTCTGGAGGATTAAATTGAAATTGCAACCAACTTTCTATGGCTTGTTTTAGAAATAGTGATATTTGGGAGATTATTTCCTTTTCAAATAACTGAAAGTGAGAGGTTGTAATCTGAATAAAGGGAAAAAGGCCATCCTTGAACATTGGGTGAGACAATCTTACTAATTTGCTAGAGAACCAGTTCGTATTTAAGTATAACTTTTGTATGACTGAAGCTTTTAGTGATAGGTCTAATGATTTAATATTTAATAATTTCTGTCCTTCCGAATTCATATTAATTATATAAATAGGCCCGTTTAATTTTGTCTGGTTTGCCGTTCCAAATAAAATGGAATATTTTTTTATCATATAATTTAAAAAACTGTTTGCTAGGCGTAGGCAAGACCATAAGCAAATAGGTAAACTGGGATAATACTAAAGAGTTAATCAGGGAGATTTTTCCACAAATTGACAGGTATTTACCTTTCCATGGTAGCAAGATCTTATCTATTTTTGCTAACTTTTTATAAAAAAATGTATTGGAGTGAGATCATTTATCTATTTTGGGATATGTATTCCGAGTATATCCACATCACCATCAGACCATTTTATTGGTAAACTACATGGTAATGTAAAAATTGTATTTTTTAGTGATCCAATACGTAATATAGTAAATTTTCATAATTTGGTTGTAATCCAGAGGTTAGAAAATGTATCTAGATCCTCTATGGAAACCACATGTTTGACTCCGTTCCAATGATTCCATTCCAGCCATTACAATGAGCCCATCCTCCTACAACTCGTCCCACCAGCCTCCACTGGTGCATACTGTATATGTACTTCATTGGACACTGTGTTAACAAACCTCCAAACGAGCTTCAATTCCATACAACACTCCTTCAGTAGCCTCCAACTGCTCTTAAACACTAGTAAAACTAAATGCATGCTCTTCAACCGAACGCTGCTTGCACCCGCCCACCCGACTAGAATCACTACTCTCGACGGGTCTGACCTAGAGTATGTGGACATCTACAAATATCTAGGTGTCTGGTTAGACTGTAAACTCTCCTTCCAGACTCACATCCAATCCAAAGTTAAATCTAGAATCGGTTTCCTATTTCGCAACAAAGCCTCCTTCACTCATGCTGCCAAACATGCCCTCGTAAAACTGACTATCCTACCGATCCTTGACTTCGGCGATGTCATTTACAAAATAGCCTCCAACACTCTACTCAGCAAATTGGATGTAGTCTATCACAGTGCCATCCGTTTTGTCTCCAAAGCCCCATATAATACCCACCACTGTGACCTGTACGCTCTTGTTGGCTGGTCCTCACTACATATTCGTCGCCAAACCCACTGGCTCCAGGCCATCTATAAATCACTGCTAGGCAAATCCCTGCCTTATCTTAGCTCATTGGTCACCATAGCAACACCCACCCGTAGTCTGCGCTCCAGCGGGTATATCTCACTGGTCATCCCCAAAGCCAACACCTCCTTTGGCCGCAATTCCTTCCAGTTCTCTGCTGCCAATGACTGGAACAAACTGCAAAAATCTCTGAAGCTGGAGACACTTATCTCCCTCACTAACTTTAAGCATCAGTTGTCAGAGCACCTTACCGATCACTGCACCTGTACACAGCCCATCTGAAATTAGCCCGCCCAACTACCTCATCCCTATATTGTTATTTATTTTGCTCATTTGTACCCCAGTATCTCTATTTGCACATCATCTCTTGCACATCTATCATTCCAGTGTCAATACTAATTGTAATTATTTTGCACTATAGCCTATTTTATTGCCTTACCTCCATTACTTGCTAAATTTGCACACACTGTATATTATATGTATTTCTGTTGTATTTTTGACTTTGTTTTGTTTTACCCCATATGTAACTCTGTGTTGTTGTTTTTATCGCACTGCTTTGCTTTATCTTGGCCAGGTCGCAGTTGTAAATGAGAACTTGTTCTCAACTGGTTTACCTGGTTAAATAAAGGTGAAAAAAAAAAAAAAAATGTACAGGCTACATACAGTATGTTATGTTATGTTTCTATAGTATAGAGTCACACAATGAGGACCTGGTACCAGATAGAAGCCTAGAGCGATCGATCTCCAGCACTAGTGTGACATTCTAGAACTGTAGCAACAGACATTCTGATCGAGACACAGCAAATGTACATGCTGTGCTCAGTAAATGTGTCACATGGCTTCTGAAAGACTGTCAGTTCTACCTCACATTCCTCTTCTATCCATGTGAAGAAGCTGCACATGGCGCACACACACACACACACACACACACACACACACACACACACACACACACACACACACACACACACACACACACGACCAAAGCGTTTGCTCAGCGACTCAGGGAACCTTCGTACAGCATGAACAGCACCACTATTTCACAGGTTCCCGCTGAGTCCGGGGGGCAGTTTAATGTGCTGGGTTTAAGACTGCTACTAAGCAGGATTTGCCAGAAAACCCCCTCAAAGCCCTGATAAGCAGCTGCACAGGAGTGTAACAAATTACAGGAATTATAGAGTCTCTAACAGAGAGACTTACTGTGGCTATCAGAGTAACAGATCAAATACTTCCTTTATTTTGAATCCTTACTGCTGTGACAAACTAGGAATGTCAAACATGGATAACTACTGTATAATCTGTTTCTCATTCTCTTTAACTCAGTTATTGCATAAAATTATCACAGTTAATACAAATGAACATGCTTTTTTATTTATTTATTAACCCTTATTTTACCCTTATTTCTTAGGTAGGTTGCCGGAGAACACTTTCTGATTTATAGCAACAACCCGGGGAAAGAGTTGCAAGGAAGAGGAGAGGGGCGAAAGAGCCAATAACATGCATGAATAACTGAGTGGCTCTCACCTGAAGTTGTGCATGAAGTGTCTGAACTTGTCGGCCCTCTGGGAGAGGGGCACTATGATGTTGATGGGGACATTAGCTGTATCCACCCTCTCGTTCTTCACCTTCATTAGCGGCCCAAAGGGACGAAACAGAACCAGCTTCCTGAACTCACGGCTCTGGTCCCCTTTGAAGGTGAGCTCATACAGAGTACCTTTGTCCTTCTCCGTCCGAGAGATACCTGGGGAAGGGAGAAGAGTGAGTTTACCAATAGGCCACAAATGTGTGAAGGCATGCGTTACACATGTACACATGCACACACCAGGGCTGTCAAATGCAGAAAAACACACACACACACACAGGAACAAAATGTGCCTGCATGCACACACACATGCACACACAGCTGAACTGCAGTTCAGTTTATTTGCTTATTTGTTTCTGTTGTTATAATGTGGATGGATATTTAGTAGTCCATCGTGGATAATATTTCAGGGTTTGTACACAAACACACTCAAACTCAGCCAGACTGTTCATAGCCACTCTAGTTGCACTGTGAACAATCTGTCAACAGGTGAATCATTTCTCCACTTTGCTGCCTGGATCTGAAAGTTATTGAACAGAGAAGGATAGTCCTTGGCTGTGTGGCCATGGGAGAGAGAGACAGACATGGTATTTAAGACCCAGAGAGACGGTGATAGACAGACAGGGCATTTCAGGCTCAGGGAGAGATAGATACAGGACAAGGAGAGAGGGACAGACAGTGCATTTACAGTTCAAGTTTACATACACCTTAGCCAAATACATTTAAACTCAGTTTGTTCACAATTCCTGACATTTAATCCTAGTAAAAATTCCCTGTCTTAGGTCAGTTAGGATCACCACTTTATTTTAAGAATGTGAAATGTCAGAATAATAGTAGAGAGAATGATTTATTTCAGATTGTATTTCTTTCATCACATTCCCAGTGGGTTAGTTAATACCCAGACATACACTCAATTAGTATTTGGTAGCATTGCCTTTAAATTGTTTAACTTGGGTCAAATGTTTCGGGTAGCCTTCCACAAGCTTCCCACAATAAGTTGGGTGAATTTTGGCCCATTCCTCCTGACAGAGCTGATGTAACTGAGTCAGGTTTGTAGGCCTCCTAGCTCGCACACGCTTTTTCAGTTCTGCCCACAAGTTTTCTATAGGATTGAGGTTAGGGCTTTGTGATGGCCACTCCAATACCTTGACTTTGTTGTCCTTAAGCCATTTATCCACAACTTTGGAAGTATGCTTGGGGTCATTGTCCATTTGGAAGACCCATTTGCGACCAAGCTTTAACTTCCTGACTGATGTCTTGAGATGTTACTTCAATATATCCACATAATTTTCCTTCCTCATGATGCCATCTATTTTGTGAAGTGCACCAGTCCCTCCTGCAGCAAAGCACCCCCACAGCATGATGCTGCCACCCCTGTGCTTCACTCTTGGGATGGTGTTCTTCTGCTTGCAAGCAACTCCCTTTTTCCTCCAAACATAACGATGGTCATTATGGCCAAACAGTTCTATTTTTGTTTCATCAGACCAGAGGACATTTCTCCAAAAAGTACGATCTTTGTCCACATGTGCAGTTGCAAATCATAGTCTGGCTTTTTTATGGCGGTTTTGGAGCAGTGGCTTCTTCCTTGCTGAGCGGCCTTTCAGGTTATGTCGATATAGGACTCGTTTTACTGTGGATATAGATACTTTTGTACCTGTTTCCTCCAGCATCTTCAGAAGGTTCTTTACTGTTGTTCTGGGATTGATTTGCACTTTTCGCACCAAAATACGTTCATCTCTAGGAGACAGAACGCGTCTCCTTCCTGAGCGGTATGACGGCTGTGTGGTCCCATGGTGTTTATACTTGCGTACTATTGTTTGTACAGATGAATGTGGTACCTTCAGGTGTTTGGAAATTGCTCCCAAGGATGAACCAGACTTGTGGAGGTCTACCATTTTTTTTCTGAGGTCTTGGCTGATTTTTTTGGATTTTCCCATGATGTCAAGCAAAGAGGCACTGAGTTTGAAGGTAGGCCTTGAAATACATCCACAGGTACACCTCCAATTGACTCAAATTATGTCAATTAGCCTATCAGAAGCTTCTAAAGCCATGACATCTTTTTCTGGAATTTTCCAAGCTGTTTAAAGTTAGTGTATGTAAACTTCTGACCCACTGGAATTGTGATACAGTGAATTATAAGTGAAATAATCTGACTGTAAAAATTTAGTCCTAACCGACTTGTCAAAAGTATAGTTTGTTAACAAGACATTTGTGGAGTGGTTGAAAAACAAGTTTTAATGACTCCAACCTAAGTGTATGTAAACTTCCGACTTCAACTGTAAGTGAGAGAGAGAAAGCAACAGACAGTGCCTTTCAGACCTTGGGAGAGAGTGACAGACAGGGTATTTCAGGCCCAGGGAGAGAGAGAGACAAACAGGGTATTTCAGGCCCATGGAGAGAGAGAGACAAACAGGGCATTTCAGGCCCATGGCGAGAGAGAGACAAACAGGGCATTTCAGGCCCATGGAATAAGAGACGGACAGACAGACAGGCAGGCAGGCATACAGACAGACACACACAGAGAGAGAGGGGGGGGGGGGGGGGGGTCGAGAGAGAGAGAGAGAGAGATAGACAGAAACTGACAAGAGAGAGAGAAGAGAGAGAGAGAGAGAGAGAGGAGAGAGAGAGAGAGATAGGAGAGAGATAAGCGCGATCGAGAGAGAGAGAGAGATATAGAGCCTCTAGCTAGATATCGAACATGCTCTCTTAGTCTAGCTCGGCTTCACTATATAGACTACTCTACTCTCTCTCTCTCTCTCTATCTTACGTCTATCTCTCTCTCTCTTATCTCCTATTCTCTCCCTCCCTTTCCTTCTTCCCTTTCCATTTTCTCTTCCCCAGGGAGAGAGGGACAGAAAGGGCATTTCAGGCCACTGTAAACATCCCAGGCCTCTCCTCTCTGCTCCTAGTTGGACCTGGCTGGGGCCCTGGGTCCTCTGCCACTATGACAGCTGAAGGAGACTGGTCATGCATAGAGATCATACTCACACTGGATTACAACAGCTCGTAGTAGTTAATACCCAGACATATCACTCAACAACAATACAGTAAACTCAATCCCTATTGTCACCCACTTCACAGCTGTATACTGTCAGTCAAAACCTCTTGTTCCAAAGATGACATGACTGGACTGAAAAATTACAGCAAGAGTGTGCGATTCATCATCATGAAAGCAAAATTCTGTCAGAAATAGTTCTTAGAATTCTCTACAGAAGAATGTTGTACTTTATTCCCATTTCAAACATTCTACTTTAGATTACTTCAAGAATAAACAGGATATTTTAAGTCACGCAACAATGCAGTAGAATCGAGTACAGTATCAAAATCATCATACTGCAGGCTACTGTGCTCTCCCACTCAAATTACATCAATAGAAACACAGGAAGCTGCAAAAGCAGAGGAATAGCTTGTGATCCCCAGTCTGATAGTGGTAAAACTAACTTCCTGTGATAAGAGACATCTTCTCTTAACTCTGGGGACAGGGTGGGCTGTGGCTCCTCAGCCCAGCCTCCATGTACTACATAAACATGTTTTTCACAGGATATTAATTTGATCACCCTGTTGCAGGATAACTTTACTGCACTGCGGGACATTTAAAACTTGTAATGTATTTGAGGTTTAAAAAGGCTTCTGAAGTTTGTAATTTCCACTTGATTTTCCCTTATGAAAAATGTATCAACCCCGTGTTGCATATACACAGGCAGCCCAATTCTGATCTTTTTTCCACTAATTGGTATTTTGACCAATCACATCAGCTCTTTTCACATCAGATCTTTTTCAGAGCTGATTTGATTGGTCTAAAGACCAATTAGTGAAAAAAAGATTAGAATTGGGCTGCCTGTCTTTAGACCAATCAAATTACAATTAATGGACATTTTTGTAGGAGTTACATTTTTCATAAGGGAAAATCAAGTGGAAATTAAAAACTAAACGCAGCCATAATAATTCACATTTCCTCTTGCTGCATGATTATTTTGCTGCTGTAGCAAACTGGCTCAAATTAAGATCCTACATCTGTACCACTCCTTTTCCACCCAAACCCTCTCTCTTGCTTTCTCATTTTCTTTCTCTCCCATGCCCTGTCTCGTTTCTCTCCCTCTCTCCCTCTCTCCCCTTCTACTCCGGCCCTCTTATTCCTTGTTGTCTCGTTGCCCGACTCTCATTCTTTCTGTATGACAGCTGAGCAAATCCACCCAGGGCAGCTCCTGAAAAACACCATTCAGCACAGCCAATGGGTAGTGTTCAGTATTTGTGTTTAGTCGCGGCTCGCTAACTGAGAATTGGCAGGGCTCTAATGCTCCCTTTGTAATCATCAGCATCTCAACAAGCTTCAAGTTGTCTGAGTGAATGAAAAGGTACTTGTACACTGGTGCAATTAATTTAAAAGGACGGGCAAGAATTTCATTGCTAATATAAAGATAGTTGCCAGTTCATTAACTAGCCTACCCAGTTGCTTTCATCTTTGTTGTTGAACAATGGTTGTTGTTTGCTATTTGCTACACACACACGTCCAACTACAGAGTGCTCTTTGGATTACTCATGAACAAATTGGCTATCTATAGGGTGAAAGCATATTTGAAGAGTTTATTTCCAAAACACTATATCTACCAATTTTTCACATTTGTGTTTTTTCACCAGAAATGATTGCATATGGGTACCTTCATGTGTGTAAAATATTACTGTTCTCAGATTTTTTTATTCATAGATTTTAGGTGTGTATTAAAATGTGTTTCTTTGCAAAACGCTATATATCCATTGTTTAGCTGGATTAGAATGTTTGTATACTGTATATTTGACTGTGATACAGTATGTGGTTGTGTTGCCTAGCTATCTTAAGATGAATGCATTAACTGTAAGTCACTCTGGATAAGAGCATCTGCTAAATGACTGAAATGTCAAATGTAAATGTTTTACATACAGATCTCATGTTACTGTATTGAGTCATTTTATATTTAAATATTGATGTTACAAATGTATCATTTGTACAGTTATTTATAAAAAATGTAGTTATTAGTCATTTGACTGTGTAAAACCTAGCAGTACTACGTATTTTATTGAGAGTGAGATGGGTATATAGCATTTTGTAAACAACATGAAACCTCTGAAATTAAAGTGATAGATTTCAAACTAAAACATGTCTGTCATTGAACAACCCCATGCCATGATTAGATAGTGAAAAAAACATACCAATCTCTTTCATAAGTTATGTAAAACTATAAAAGTTAATTTACCAACATTTTGAAAATTGATGTATAGCGTTTTGGAAAGATACTCTTCATTTCCTATGGGAGTGTTTGAGAGCCGATACCTGAACAGGTATTTCAAGGGAGAGATAGAGGTACATAAACAATTATGTGTTTTCAGTATATTTTTGGTATGTCGACACACACACACACACACACACACACACTTTTCCTCTCCCAGGTACAGTAGGAATTAGTCAGACATGGCCCCAGTAAAGATGTTGACCTTTCAGAGGAAGCGGCCCCTCTCTCTGAGCTTGTAGAGATGCTACACACTGAATGGAAAGCAGATGTGCTCATTTCCTACTCCAAATCATGCTAGACTAGCTGGATATCCTGGCTGTGGCTCTTCAGCACCCAGCAGCAGGATCCTCTATTATCACACAGCAAAACAAAACAGAAAACAAGAAGGAACACACAAACATGTTTGTTACAGATGTAGTTTACTGGAGAAAATAGAAACAAACGTTAGACTTTCTTAGTTGGAAATGAGGATGTGCTGTTGTTGTGCTGATTATTTATTTGTTGGACTGGAGTTCAATTTGGTGAATTAATTGTTTTTATACCATGTCATTTTTATTAAAACTATGTAAGTATTCCAATAGTTCAACAGCCACTCCACAATGTAGCTATTGTAGCTATAGTAGAGTAGTGTGGAGCAGAGCCATGTATACAGTTGAAGTCGGAGGTTTACATACACCTTAGCCAAATACAGTGAGGGAAAAAAGTATTTTGATCCCAAGCTGATTTTGTACGTTTGCCCACTGACAAAGACATGATCAGTCTATAATTTTAATGGTAGGTTTATTTGAACAGTGAGAGACAGAATAACAACAACAAAATCCAGAAGAACGCATGTCAAAAATGTTATAAATTGATTTGCATTTTAATGAGGGAAATAAGTATTTGACCCCTCTGCAAAACATGACTTAGTACTTGGTGGCAAAACCCTTGTTGGCAATCACAGAGGTCAGACGTTTCTTGTAGTTGGCCACCAGGTTTGCACACATCTCAGGAGGGATTTTGTCCCACTCCTCTTTGCAGATCTTCTCCAAGTCATTAAGGTTTCGAGGCTGACGTTTGGCAACTCGAACCTTCAGCTCCCTCCACATTTTCTATAGGATTAAGGTCTGGAGACTGGCTAGGCCACTCCAGGACCTTAATGTGCCTCTTCTTGAGCAACTCCTTTGTTGCCTTGGCCGTGTGTTTTGGGTCATTGTCATGCTGGAATACCCATCCACGACCCATTTTCAATGCCCTGGCTGAGGGAAGGAGGTTCTCACCCAAGATTTGACAGTACATGACGCCGTCCATCGTCCCTTTGATGCGGTGAAGTTGTCCTGTCCCCTTAGCAGAAAAACACCCCCAAAGCATAATGTTTCCACCTCCATGTTTGACGGTGGGGATGGTGTTCTTGGGGTCATAGGCAGCATTCCTCCTCCTCCAAACAAGGCGAGTTGAGTTGATGCCAAAGAGCTCGATTTTGGTCTCATCTGACCACAACACTTTCACCCAGTTCTCCTCTGAATCATTCAGATGTTCATTGGCAAACTTCAGACAGGCCTGTATATGTGCTTTCTTGAGCAGGGGGACCTTGCGGGCACTGCAGGATTTCAGTCCTTCACAGCGTAGTGTGACTCCACGAGGTGAGATCTTGCATGGAGCCCCAGGCCGAGGGAGATTGACAGTTATTTTGTGTTTCTTCCATTTGCGAATAATCGCACCAACTGTTGTCACCTTCTCACCAAGCTGCTTGGCGATGGTCTTGTAGCCAATACCAGCCTTGTGTAGGTCTACAATCTTGTCCCTGACATCCTTGGAGAGCTCTTTGGTCTTGGCCATGGTGGAGAGTTTGGAATCTGATTGATTGATTACTTCTGTGGACAGGTGTCTTTTATACAGGTAACAAACTGAGATTAGGAGCACTCCCTTTAAGAGTGTGCTCCTAATCTCAGCTCGTTACCTGTATAAAATACACCTGGGAGCCAGAAATCGTTCTGATTGAGAGGGGGTCAAATACTTATTTCCCTCATTAAAATGCAAATCAATTTATAACATTTTTGACATGCGTTTTTCTGGATTTTTTTGTTGTTATTCTGTCTCTCACTGTTCAAATAAACCTACCATTAAAATTATAGACTGATCATTTCTTTGTCAGTGGGCAAACGTACAAAATCAGCAGGGGATCAAATACTTTTTTCCCTCCTGTACATTTAAACTCAGTTTTTCACAATTCCTGACATTTAATCCTAGTAAAAATTCCCTGTCTTAGGTCAATTTGGATCACCACTCTATTTTAAGAATGTGAAATGTCAGAATAATAGTAGAGAGAATGATTTATTTCAGATTTTATTTCTTTCATCACATTCCCAGTGGGTCAGAAGTGTACATACACTCAATTAGTATTTGGTAGCATTGCCTTTAAATGGTTTGACTTGGGTCAAACATTTCGGGTAGCCTTCCACAAGCTTCCCACAATAAGTTGGGTGAATTTTGGCCCATTCCTCCTGACAGAGCTGGTGTAACTGAGTCAGGTTTGTAGGCCTCCTTGCTCGCACACACTTTTTCAGTTCTACCCACAAATGTTCTATAGGATTGAGGTCAGGGCTTTGTGAAGGCCACTCCAATACCTTGATTTTGTTGTCCTTAAGCCATTTCCCCACAATTTTGGAAGTATGCTTGAGGTCATTGTCCATTTGGAAAATCCATTTGCGACCAAGCTTTAATTTCCTGACTGATGTCTTTAGATGTTGCTTCAATGTATCCACATAATTTTACTTCCTCATGACGCCATCTATTTTGTGAAGTGCACCAGTCCCTCCTGCAGCAAAGCACCCCCACAGCATGATGCTGCCACCCCCGTGCTTCACGGTTAGTATGGAGTTCTTCGGCTTGCAAGCCGCCCCCTTTTTCCTCCAAATATAACGATGGTCATTATGGCCAAACAGTTCTATTTTTGTTTCATCAGACCAGAGGACATTTCTCCAAAAAGTACGATCTTTGTCCACATGTGCAGTTGCAAATCATAGTCTGGCTTTTTTATGGCGGTTTTGGAGCAGTGGCTTCTTCCTTGCTGAGCGGCCTTTCAGGTTATGTCGATATAGGACTTGTTTTACTGTGGATATAGATAATTTTGTACCTGTTTCCTCCAGCATCTTCACAAGGTCCTTTGCTGTTGTTCTGGGATTGATTTGCACTTTTCGCACCAAAGTACGTTCATCTCTAGGAGACAGAACGCGTCTCCTTCCTGAGAGGTATGACGGCTGCGTGGTCCCATTGTGTTTATACTTACGTACTATTGTTTGTACAGATGAACGTGGTACCTTCAGGCGTTTGGAAATTGCTGCCAAGGATGAACCAGACTTGTGGAGGTCTACAATTTCTTTTCTGAGGTCTTGGCTGATTTCTTTTCATTTTCCAATGATGTCAAGCAAAGAGGCACTGAGTTTGAAGGTAGGCCTTGAAATACATCCACAGGTACACCTCCAATTGACTCAAATTATGTCAATTAGCCTATCAGAAGCTTCTAAAGCCATGACATCATTTTCTGGAATTTCCCAAGCTGTTTAAAGGCACAGTCAACTTAGTGTATGTAAACTTCTGACCCACTGGAATTGTGATACAGTGAATTATAAGTGAAATAATATGTCTGTAAACAATTGTTGGAAAAATTACTTGTGTCATGCACAAAGTAGATGTCCTAACCGACTTTCCCAAACTATTGTTTGTTAACAAGACATTTGTGGAGTGGTTGAAAAACGAGTTTTAATGATGCCAACCTAAGTGAATGTAAACTTCCGACTACAACTGTATATGCCATACACAGGAGGCTGCTGAGGGGAGGATGGTTCATAATAATGGCTGGAACAGAGGGAATGGAATGGCACCAATTTGATCTATTTGATACCATTCCACTCATTCTGCTCCAGCTATTACCACGAGTCCGTCCTCCCCAATTAAGGTGCCACCAACCTCCTGTGATGCCATACATACAATATACAGTATGTATATCATTATGGCTGTATACCTATGGCTGTGGTATGGAGCTTAGTGACTCACCTTCTATGAAGTCTGATGGTGAGTAGACCTTGGTGGTCCGGCCTTTGTCTGCTCCGTCTCGGGGTGTGTTGAGGCTCCGCAGGGCTGTCTCCAGCGCTTCACTCAGCTCATCCTTCCGGTCCTTCCTCACGGGCTTCTCCTCAGGGTGCCTTGTCAGGCCCATCTCCAGCTGGTACACCCTCTGCAGGGTGAAGCTCTCAAAGGGCACCACGGTGTACTCATTGGGTAGTCTAGTACCCTGGTGGACCTCCGCCCGGCCCAGCTGACTGCGAAGGAACTCCTGGAGGTCTGCGTGGCTCCTGTCAGCCCCTGGCCCCTGGCCCCCCTCCCCGAGAGTACCTCCTCCTGGGGACTGGCCGCCCTGGCCTCTCCCTGCCGCCCGCTCCATTGTGTCTTGGACTCCTTTGAGCTGCTCACTACGCTCCTGCAGTGCTTCTTTTAACTGGGCGATCTGTTTCTTCAGACTCGCCATATGTAGCTTGTGCTGCTCCTCACGCTCCACTAGCATGGCCTGGTAGCCCTCCCACCCCGGGGGTCCGCTCTGAGCCGACCCTGTGCCCCCTGCTGCCCCGACTCCCAGCCCGGGGCGTGGCAGGGCGTGGCTCACCAGGTTGTCCTCAGAGTGGGGGCTGCAGGTCATGACGTAGAGGAGGGACAGAGAGCAGCACACTAGGACCAGCAGCACGCCCACACGGGACACCCAGGCCAGCAGACCCCTCCGCAGCATCCCGCTATCACCCCTCAGATCCAGGGATACACACACACTCACGTTACTCTCCGGCAGTCTCACCCCCCACTAAAATATGATTGTCTGTGTGATTGTTATTAATGTCTGACTAACCAGAGAAGATCCACCTGAATGATCATTTGGGCCATTATATGGGTAGTCTCAACATTGCTCATACCATTGCCTGGATTCCTCATCCGTATGTTTGTGGTCAAGGGTGAGGCCCATTGGTCACGTCTCCTTCCCCCCTGGCTGGGGCCCAGTAAGGTTTGACAAGGTCCAGAACCTGGCAATTTCTATTTCCGATCCGGTCATTGGTAACAGACGCCATTCATCAGTGACTCACATCACATATGGTCCCACTACTTTCTCTGTGCACCCTGCTCTTTCCTTCCTGTCTGATGCTGCTGTTGTATTACAGGCCCCTGAGAGAATGTCTGTCTGGGATTTGATGTTTATTCCACTGGACTCATGTTTAGGGATGATGACACATTATTTGTCCTCCTGGACCTTATTGAGTAAAGTGCACAGAGGAGTGAGAACACAAACCACATCCCTTAAAAGAAGGTGAATGAACATCCATGGTCGTTTGCAGTTTCTTCATGATGTATATCTCTTCCATGAGTCGCCTTCTGGAGAGATAGCGAGAGAGAGAGAGAGAGAGAGAGAGAGAGAGAGAGAGAGAGAGAGAGAGAGAGGAGAGAGAGAGAAGAGAGAGAATGAGAGAGAGGGACAGAGAGTGAGCGAGAGAGGGACAGAGAGGGACACAGAGAGAGAGAGAGAGAGAGAGGGACAGAAAGGGACACAGAGAGAGTGGGAGAGAGAGTGGGAGAGAGAGAGAGGGACAGAGATAGAGAGAGCGAGTGAGCGAGCGACAGAGCGAGTGAGATAGCGAGAGAGAGAGAGAGAGAGAGAGTGAGATAGCGAGAGAGAGAGAGTAGAGTAGGAGAGAGTGAGATAGCGAGAGAACGAGAGAAGGGACAGAGAGTGACGAGAGAGGACAGAGAGGGACACAAGAGTAGTGGGAGAGAGAGTGGGAGAGAGAGAGAGCGAGTGAGCGAGCGACAGAGAGAGTGAGATAGCGAGAGAGAGAGAGAGATAGCGAGAGAGAGAGCGAATAGAGAGAGAGAGAGTGTGAGCGAGCGAGCGGAGAGAGTGACAGAGAGTGAGCGAGGACAAGAGAGAGAGAGAACAGTGAAGAGAGAGAGAGAGAGAGTGAGAGAGAGAGTGAGATAGCGAGCGAGAGAGAGAGAACGAGAGAGAGGGACAGAGAGTGAGCGAGAGAGGGACAGAGAGAGAGAGAACGAGTGGAGAGAAAGAGAGAGAGAGTGAGCGAGTGAGAGAGAGAGAGTGAGATAGCGAGAGAGAGGGACAGAGAGTGAGCGAGAGAGGGACAGAGAGAGAGAGAGCGAGTGGAGAGAGAGAGAGAGTTATAACTCAGTTGGTGTGAAAGCACAGTTAAGGTTTATGAGTATATGATATCATCATCACCATCATTAACATCACATAGTCATCATAATCGATTTCTTCAATCTCCTTCATCTAGACATATGCCTTGGTATGAGATTGCTTGGCTCTCTGAAAATGAAGAGCTTCACTTTGTGATAAATCTCTCCATATGCTGCAGTATAAATCTGTGACGTCTTAATAGTCATAAACCTGGGAGGGCTAGAAGTCTGCATGAGGTCTAATACATGTCTATTGCATGAGGATATAGGGAAGGAAAATAGTTTCAGTATCTAACTCAGATTAGAAAACATGCCACACAATTTTCTAATGTTTATTTTAATATGAACTGAAAGCATGGGTTTCTACCTAGCGACACAGCCAAGCCAAGCAAAGCATTCCCCAATCCCTTTAACTGCTGAATAACAATGGTGTCAGTGATGACAGGGTGACGCTATGGAGGCTGTTCTAAAAGCATTAAGGACTGTAGATGTATGTGGACACTTCTACCGGCCTGTCCTCTCACTGTGGAACAACGGGATCAGTAGAAGACAAGCAAACACAAAACAAGCAAGCAAATGGGCCATTTACAAACCCACACAAACTCTCTCTCTCTTTATCTCTGTCTCTCTCACTCTCTCATCCTCAAGCAAATTTCCTTAATCACATTAAGGAAGACTGTATGGACAGAGACAGAAAAAGACTGCTTGCCTGTTTCCATGCCTGTGTGCACGTGTGTTGTACAGGTGATGGTTTATTTGTGTGTGATGTGCACGATGGAAGCACGGGTCCACGTGTGTTTGTGAATGTAGTTAGTGTGTCTGTAAGTCGCTCTGGATAAGAGCGTCTGCTAAATGACTTACATGTAAATGTATGTGTATCTCCCTGTTGACTCACCACACAAGTATCTCTTTTATAGGCTCAATGCAGCCTGCTACTAATGAAAGGACCAGTTATGTCAGCACTGAATACTGGGCTGTATAGGTCCTGTGCTCTGTGTCTGGGCTGCTGGCTCAAACCAGTTGCTGATGTTTACGTAAGCATTTACGAAATGGATTATGTACTGATTATGAATGCATTGTGTAGGGATTATGAATGTGTTATGTACGTAGATACCCTTGAAAAAAAGTTCTCAGATGACTTTGGCCTTCCTGTGACAGCACCATGGCTACATCTCAATAATCTAAAGTGGCTTCCTCCTCTTGTCTGCTCTCCTTCATCGATGCTGGTCTGAGATTGACTGCATAAGTGAAAACAATGTGGGGATGCCTGAATTATAGGAATGAATTTTCACCTGCCTGGTTATGTTATAAACTGCAAAGGAGACGAGAGGATGTGACGTTAGACTATTGAGACGTAGCCTACCCGATGAGTCCATAGCCTGTAATTACCAGGCATCCTTCCAGCAGCACAGAGATTCCCACCCACAGAGCCAGGGACTGGGGTTGGGAGGAGAGACTGAATTAATGGTGACTCACAGCCAAATCACTGACTCTCACTGACTGTGGATTGATTCATGTTTGTCATTTGACTCCCCAAGGGAATGGACAGGGCTGTCATACCAGAATATATAACCTCTAAATCATATTATGGGATGATGTGTTCTTCTCTACCATTCATAATTAAATGACGATTTATTATTAAATTACACCATCATCATACTGATTCTATCTGTATTTAGTACTGTACACAGACCACAATGTAACCCTCATGTGAAACTCAAATAAAAAGATAATTACGAAAAGTAACATCTGAAGAACATCTACTCCTACTTCTGAGACCTCGGGTAATTTGTCAACTGAGCTAACCTCTAAGTCTTGTCTTAATTTCCAGCTGAAGTAAAACAAACTGGCATTGTATTGCAGTCAGGAAATGATGTGACTTTTTTCTTTACAGAGATATGTAACTGTGGTGATACAGTTTAGATGAGTTTAGCGAGGTTTCTATCACCTCTGATTTGTGCTGTTGTACATAAATAGTTACGTACCACTGTGGGTTCTGTCTTGCAGTTACAGCTGTTACTTCTGCTAATGTTTCTGACTCTCTTCCTGTATTTGCATGACTATAAGAGTGATTAGTTTGTTCCTTTGGCGCAGTAGAGACCGATTCCATCAAACCTAACTTTGTCATGTTTATGCAGAATCTTTCATTACGCAGTTGCTAAATCTGAATCATTATATGATCATTACGCAAACAGTGTTTATAAATATGTATAAACATTTGCATACAAATGTAGAAATGCAGAAGTGCACTGACCGGATTTAACATTTCCTTATCTGACTGAGCTATGATAAATGGTGTAATTTTCCTCTCAGAGGACTTGCATTCACTCTGAAAGACAGAAACAGATAGAGAGCGAGACAGACAGAGAAAAACGGATTGAAAGAGAGCGAGAGAGGAAAAAGAGGGAGCGACAGAAAAGAGAGAGGTGAGGTGGTGAGTCGGACGGGCGTTGATCAGAGGGGGACGCCTCCTGTGTTCAACTCTGAGCAGCATCTGGTTTTGACACAGAAATGACGTCCCCTGTTAGAGCGGCTTCCTGGGTACATTGGTGGTGGAGTGGCATGGGAAAGTGCTCACCGTTCTGTGGGTGGGAGGGAGACGGTGGTGTGTGTGTGTTCACTGGGGCTACGTCAAACTAATATTTACATGTACCTGGGAGAGGGAAAGAGAGAGAGAGAGAGAGTGTGTGTTTGTTTGTGTGTGGGAGGGAGGGGGGGGGGGGGCAGAGGGTTCGCAGGGTGCCATTTATTATAAATAGTGACACATTTCTGGCCCATTCCCAGACAGCAGTCACAGTTATGCAGGAGAAATAACATATCCTGAAACAGAGAAGAGAGGTTGGGGAGGTTTGGGGGGCAGGAGGGCTTCTGACAGCCTTGTTTTTCTCCTCAGTAGAAGAGAGTGTCTCTGTGAAGTGTGAAGTATTTGAGGTATGATTCTGTGGCAGTCTCACCTGTATCTCTGAAACTTGTGGTATTTCGGGTGTGCTAGGATGTGTCTGTAGCCTACTCCATGTTATTTGATGGCTCTGTCCTTGGTATCTTTGGTATCTGAGTGTTTTCTCTTTGCCTGTGTGTATGTTTATTATTGCATTTTCAATTATTTCTGCATTCTGGTATGCTTTGGTATTTCTCAATGTACAAACAGTAGTTCAATGTGTGACTGTGTGTGTGTACACACGTGCGTTACTAAATACATTAAGCTAGAATGTACAAATATTTACCATAGTGATAATTTCAACAAGATGCAGTCGTTACATACATCCCCGTAAGGCATAAGCAGTGGTCGGTCTGTAATCACTAGAAACAAGAAAATTAACCATAGAAACACACCACACGGCATGCTTCTGACCCTATAAAAACCTCAGTGATCTCTATATTTCTTCTGTTATTTTCCTCTGGGTCACTTCCCTTAGGGAATGTACATAGGCTTTTACAGTGAATCTGTCTGAACTGATCATGGTAAAAAGGGGATGTTCTACTGTGACATACAGTAAAAGCTCCAGGTGGGGCTGCCGGACCGCGCCCCTAGTTTCACTGCCTTTCCATAACCCCACCATTAGGTTCATCCCAGTGAGAGAGGAGGAGAGCACACAAAACCAGTCCCAGATGTTATTGGAGAGCAGTCCTGGGTGCACGTTTCGGACCAAGTTTGGGAAATCCTGCTTTAGAGAGAAGGAAAAATTAGAGAGGGGATGGCGGAAAGGGTTAGAGGAAGAAAGAGATAGGGGGAGAGAGAGCTAGAGGTAGAGTGATACATAGAGAGAGAGAAAGAGAGGG